TCTTAGATTATACCCATTATCTTTCAGGCTTAAGTGACATTTAACATTTAACTTAAATGGCTGTTTCAGCAAGCTTGGTGAGTGAGAATAAGGATAATTAAATAGAGTTTAGTGACACAGATCATCAGCAAAATAGCTCAGGTAACTTGGGTCTTGGCACTGATGCAGTGACAGCCTGAAAGTTTTTCTTTCTCTTTCTGTGTGCACTCAAGGGCACTTCAAATAATAGAAGCTTTTAATGCTTAAGATAATTGAGGTTTAACATAAATGAGATTCAAGGTCTGGACCTAAAGGGATAAAAGCTATTCAGGCATACATTTTGAACCTGCAGTTAAGATGCTTTGAACAAAGCTGTAAAATGGATTTCATATCAAAATTTCCATTGAGGATATTGTTAATGGAATAATATTTATCCACTGATGTGAATCCAACATGGAAAATGAAAGCCAATGTAAAAAAATAAAAGAAAGCAAAGGGTCTTGTTCAATGTTTGTAGTAAGTGTCTCTTAAAGCTATGTTTGTCTTTTAATACAAGGAACCTTGGACTGCCTTGTCCAGCCTGAATCCAGATTAATTCAGTTCAGAGTACACTTAGTGCTTTCATCTCATAATTCATTTACTTTGTTATTTGCTTTGTTTGGTTCATTACTCGAGATAAATATTCCCAGAATTTTAGTTCTAGATGTTAAGGTACACTTACAGTATATAGTGAGACCTTTGAAGACTGGTTTTGACATTTTTTTCTGGGTGACATTGATGGTTGTCTTTGTTATAACAATTAGTAATGATGCCTTATTGACTGTAGCATTAATTTATTATAAGAGCCCCTATATTCCTAGGATGACTTCTTTCAATGGGAAATGCACATCACAAATCACAGAATGGCTATATTAGAAAACCTAGATGGTTGATGGTCTAGAGCTCAACAAGTAGTTCATGGTATGATTAAAATTAGGAAATACAGAAAGTTTGATAAGTGGCAAATGTTGATGCCCACGAAAAGGGAAAGTGTTATAAAAAATAAACTGTAGAATGAGTCCACCATTACATTTCTATATTCTAGGATTTGATCAGTCATATTTAGTTTTGGTTACCATGCACAAAGAGACTCTGAAGCATTAGAATATAGTTGAAAAAACAAACATCAAGAATTGTTCCAAAGGCTAAGTTAGCAATTAATGCAAGGACAGGATTAAAGACTTGTCCCAGCAAGTTAAGAAAAACGTTTTGTTGGTAGACAAGGAATTCAACAGCATTTTTATATTGGTTTACTAAAGAAAATTACATTTAAGATGAGCAGATTTTATTAGACAGTTAGATTTACAAAATGGAAAGCAGCACCTCAAACAAAAATATCAGTAGCATGTATTTTAAGCTAGCTGTACAGAGAGTTCTCACTTTTTGGAATTCTTAATGTATAGGTTATAGTGTGTTTTGAAACCCCCTATATCTCTGAAAGATACAGTTTTCTTATTGTTAGACTGCATTTTATAAGGGGAGCTGCTTCTGCTTCAGCATGCATTGGTCGCAAAGCAACAAGTAAAAGTTAATTCCAAGCTGAAATTGAGAAAAACACAACGTTTTAGCTATCAAGTCTTTTTCAAGATACCTCAACAACCAAAATATTCTTTTCCCCCTACTTTTCAGTGTGAAATTAACCGTTACTTGTTCCTTGAAAAAGTGAACATTTATCATTTATATTTCATATATAAATTAATATAAATGTATATACACATATATCACATGTACACATGTATCACACATATGTAAACATTGTTTTTTCTGCTGTTGTTTTTTAACAAAACTGTTTATCCTTAAGAACTGTTGTACTGAGACCTGCAACATATCTGATGAACCCACATATAAAAATTGAAAGGTGTCTATTCCAAAATTATAGTTCTCTGGGCTACTTCAACTATTTACCAGGGTTTGTGCTTGCCTGTTTCCCTCCACAAACATGGCTGTGCCATGCATCTACTCTGGTGGACAGCTTAGTAACTAGTGGGAGCTGATCCTACTCCTTGTTCCCCTCAAGAAGCTCTTTTGGTGTCTAAAAATGAAGAACATAAGAGCAAACATATGAAAATGTTGTGAATACTGGTTGCAGTATTTTTCTCTGCACTGCTGAGTACACAATACATCCCACACCGTGAATGAATAATTTTTTATTCCATCTGATTTCAGATTCATTTAGGTCTTTCAGGTCAAAGGATCAAATGTAACTAGGTTTTGAGTTATAGACTGTGATATTTTATCATATAATTGAACATCTGCAGATCATATCCTCACTGTCTTGTGAGAACATTTGCACTTACTTTCTCTCTGACTGGTCTCTGAGCCTCACACCCACATCTCAAACTAACACATATGGATCAGAGAAACAGCTGCTCCTTTACAGTAATATCTTAACAGTTGATATGTTGTATATTAATACTGTAACATTCACAAAGAGTTGATTATCATTCATCAAGTGTTACTCATCCATCTGTGAAGCATGAATAGACATTTCCAGTAATTCGGTCAAGTGTTAGTATTTGTATAGACAAAAAGTGACTCACATTTCCATCCCTACAAAATAATCAAGGTGTATGATCAAAAGCAACTCTGTAAATTGGAGTAAGAAAAGATAAGCACACAAATAACTACACTTATAGCTAAGGTTTATTATATCAGGGTTGGTCTGTTCTCAAACAGTTCTGTTCTTTCCTGTTTTAAGCAGGGGGTTTATGTACAGTATGTACTGTAGGTCCAACACATCTCACTATGATACAAAAAGTATTATGCATTAATACAGTATTAATATGGCAAGAGAGTGCTGAGAAACCAAAGTCAAACTGACAATATCCTGTATAGTGCAACACTGTCAAGAATGTTACATTATGTATTAAGAATTCCATATTCTCTTGCCAATAAGCATTAAGGCCCTAATATCTACTGTTACTATGTTTTACTTGTAGAACAGAGTTGGAAATCAGAGATGCAAGCTCACAAGGGATCATGAGTGGTTACTGTCCTCAGTCAAATGCATTAGATAACCACCTCACTGGGTGGGAACATCTGTACTATTACTGTCGAATTTGAGGAATTCCAGAAACTCACATCAAAAAGGTATGCTTGTCCTGAATTTTAGCTTTAGTGCTTTAGCCACCTCTTTATATAATATCTAGAGATTAAAAGAAAACAAAAGTATAATGTAAATTAATTTATATTTCTCTATTTTGAATTATTGAGTATTTATGTTATTTTAACATATAAAAAACTTACTTTTTACATATTTTAATATTTTAACTAAAACAGCATCTTGTAGGTACTTATTTTTCAAATATAACCCTGAAGTAATTGTAAAGATTCTGGGTTGAATTGACTATGTCCAGCTAATTCTAAATACCCTTATTATCAGGTATAAATCAGTTCATTGATATTCAAAGAGTGTACTTACTGAAGTTGAGGAATTACAAGACATTTGGTTTCTAATTAAAGTGTAAGCATAACTGCAATTCCTTAGGAAGAATTATATAATGGGTCTCAGTTGTGTTTGCTTTGAAAGAAATGCAGTTCCTGATTTGTACCATAAAGAGAGGCAGAGAAAAGTGATTTTAATTCTAATCACACTAGCCAAAAATACCCAGGGACACATTTTTTTCATAAGACATTAGCAAGTTATTAAATATACTTCAATCATATTAGTTTAGTGAAGCTGTTTATGGTTTATTGCAGTTTTTTAGCCCTCAGATTATTTCTTTTTGACTTATAATATCTAATAAGCATAGCATATGTTTGTCCTATTATTTCATCAGAAAAACGTTGTATTATAATAAGCTGTTTAATCTTGATAGGTCACCCAGAGTCTTGTTCTACGGCTGCATCTGTCTGCCCATGTTAATGAGCTGGTGGGAACATATAGCGGAGGCACAAAGAGGAAACTATCTACAGCACTGGCACTGATTGGCAAACCTCAAGTGCTTCTTCTGGTCAGGGCATTCATCTTCAACTATTAAATTATTCTTTACTGAATTAAGTTTTCATCAGCAACCTATATGCTGTCTCTTATGAGAATACACTGTATAAGTTGCAGCTGTTTAAAAAGCTAGCAGTGCTGTATTGGAAAATAAGCAATAACTGTATGGTGTGGCACTGTGTATATTATTTCAAGCAGCAGTTGAATGAGAAAAAGAGAGATTATGGCAAAAAACATTAATGAAATTTCATATATTTACACTCACTTTCAGTGGTTTACTGTGGTAAAAAAACAGAGCCATGAGTCATCAGTTTTTAGATTTAATAGTAAGCATGATACGGACATACAGTATGCTATGCACATCATAACATCATGTGAACACTACAGAAATATTCTGTTCACTGTAGAGTTTTAAGTAATCTAATGGATTGAATTTCAAATAAACCTAATGCTTATTGTTTTGAATTTTTTGGCATGACTTGGGGGTTTGATTTTGAAGTAACAGAAAAGTGGAGATCTATATTTGAAGTGGAAAAGATAAGCATTGCAATCTGTGCTCTAGGATGAACCCAGCTCAGGCATGGATCCTGTCTCCAAGCGATATCTCTGGAGAGCAGTTTTGAGGGAAGTCCAGGATAGCTGTGCAGGTGTGCTGACTACACACAGGTATTTCATTTCTTCTTTCTGTGGGAGGGGTAGGGTTGGGGTAAAGTCATGGTAACAATATGGTGAACATTCTAGATTTATGGTTAATGTGTTAATGTGAGAGCCCTGTATTCAGATACAAGGGCAAAGAACACAATATTCAGGATTTAGAAGTGAAAGCACAGAGCAAGCCAAGTAACAAATCATATGAAATACAGCATAACACATAAAGTGAATAATTAACCTAAAATATACAACAATAACACAAAAATAGATATACTTCAAGAATAAATTGTAGCATTTCACTGTGTATACAGTATATGCATACAGAATAGATGTAAGACCTTTAACTAATGACATTATTAGTACAGTACATCATATATATAATTCCATGTTTTTTAACATATTGTTAACTGTTGCAACTTGTTTTAAAATGTAATTTGTGAAATGCGAAACTCCAGAAGACATCTTTAGTTCATGCTGCTGTAATTTGACTTTTTTGACGGTCAGCCAGAGAACATGTTTTAAAGCAGAAGGAGTAAGGCGTGAAATGGTATTTGGTGACAAGTTACTGTATCTTTGAGCATGTAATGTTCAGCTTATTTGTTTCTGTAGACTCAAATAACCACATTTCTACTATTTTTTATATCTCTCAGTCTTTCTTGCTAGAACTTCTTTAACAGTTGTGATTATATACTGCACATTACAGTGAGTAAAAAGTACAGTACAAAGTATTCAGACCCCTCCACTTTTTCCAAACTTTGTTGTGCTGTAGACTTGTTTCAGAATGTATGTATTGATTCTTTTTTACCATCAGTCGACACACAATACCCCATAATGACAATGTGAAAACACGTTTTTGGGAAGTTTAGCAAATTTCTTAAAAATTAAAAACTGAGATCTCCCATTTACATAAGTATTCAGACCCTTTATTCAGTACTTTGTAGGACCATGTTTAGCAGCTATTACAGCTGCTAGTCTTCTTAGGTATGCTTCTACCAACTTTGCACACCTGGATTTGGGCAGTTTCTCCCATTCTTCCCTGCAGATTCTCTCAAACTCTATCAGATTGGATAGGGAGCGTTAGCAAACTGCAATCTTCAGGTTTCTCCACAGATTTTGTATAAGGTTCAAGTCCGGGCTTTGGCTGGGTCACTGAAGGGCATTCAGACACTTGTTCTGAAGCCACTCCAGTATTGTCTTGGGTTCAAAACGTTGTCTTGCTGAAAGGTGAATCTTCGCCCTCGTCGTAGGTTGTGTGCACTCTGGAGCAGGTTTTCTTCAAGGACCTCTCTGTATTTGGCTCCAATCATTTTTGCTCAATCCTGACCAGTTTCCCAGTCCCTGCTGCTGAGAAGTATCCCCACAGCATGATGCTGCCTCTACCATGCTTCACTGTATGATGGTATTAGCCAGGTGATGAGCGGTACTTTTTTTTGTAATTGTTAAATTTTGGTCTTAACAGACCAGAGAATCTTTTTCCTCAATCTTTCAAAGTCCTTTAGGTGCCATTTGGCAAACTCCATGTGGGCTGTCATATGCCTTTTGACAGGAGTGTCTTCCGTCTAGTCATTCTATCATAGAGACCTGATTGATGGAGTGCTGCAGAGATGGTTGTCCTTCCTGCAGGTTCTCCCATCTTTACACAGGAACTCTGAAGCTCCGTTAGAGTGACCTTTGGGTTCTTGGTCATCTCCCTGACCAAGGCCCATCTTGTCCAAATACACAATTTGGCCAGACAGCCAGCTCTAGGAAGAGTCTTGGTGGTTCCAAGCTTCTTCCATTTGACAATGATGGAGGCCACTGTTCTCCTAAGAACCTTCAATGCATTGCCAATTTTTTTTATACCCTTTTCCAGATTGACAGATTGACACAATCCTATCTCAGAGGTCTGTGGAGAGTACCTTGGACTTCATGGCTTGGTTTTTACTCTTCCATGTACTGTGAACTGTGTGACCTAATAAAGACAGGTGTGTGTGGTTCTAAATCATGTCCAATCAAGTGAAGTTGCCACAGATGGCTTACAATCAAGTTCTAGAGACATCTCAAAGATGATCAAAAGAAATAAGATGCATCTGAACTACTGTGGTAGAGTATCTGATATTCTCCACAAGCCTCAGCAAATTGCCCATTATAATATATTGTTATATATACAGTAATTCAATTCAGTACTTCAATTGTATAATTGTACTAATTGTTTTTTGTATTTCTTACTGTCTGAGAGCTAGCTAAATAGCGTTTCATTACACCATATACCTGTATGTGAGTATAATGACAATAAACTTGAACTTGAACTTGAATTGCAATTATATAATATATTGTATATAATCATTTGAAGGTATAGTGGCATTTTCAGTATGAACTACTTCTACTACTACTAAAAATTAATATATTGTATTATTAAGCCAAATAATAATAAGAATAATTATAATAATTTATTAAAAATGAAACAATAACAACAACTATTAAGTATTTTAGTTTTGATTTAGTTAATATAGTTATATCCTCTTGGGTCAATTAAACAAACTGAAAGAGCTGAATTTCTTAATTATGAAGGAGAAAATGTTCACAGGTGGAAGGACAGTTGGCTAACTGTTTTTTCTTGTTCATCATGTGTATGATGTTGGGTAATTAGGCACTCA